GGGGCTGTGTGTGGGGGCTTCTGCCTGCTACCCCTCTCCTTCTAGCTCAAGGAAGCCGAGGTCACTTGTGTGTTGCGGGGGGGGCGGGGTGAAAGAGCTTCTTACGCCCTATAGTACGTGTGAAACGTCTGGCAAACTCTGGCGGGGCTTCCATATGAAAGTGAAACCACCCCTCCAGGACAGTACATCTTTGGGTGACAGGATGTGTTTTTCTTGTCTGCAGACATTACTCCGTCATTCCTTCTACCCATTTTCAGGGAAGTATCTCACAGAGGAACCCTACCTGTGTGGGACTATAGGCTTTTTCTTAAAGCAAAATGTGAAATAATGTTAGCACTAGCAGTGTTGTGAGATGCTCACTTTTACTTTCAAAAAACCAGGCACAGCCAGCAGGTAGGGTCTGCTGGCCTCTGGAATCTCTTTTGTCTATCATGATTGAATCTGTCATGCTTCGGCTTAAAAATATCTTCCTCTTGAAAAGAAAGATCATTCTCAATTCTTTCTCTCATATTGCTTCATGTTTCCATTGCCCTCAGAGCCTCTACATTATCATTAAGTTTCCTTCCTTCTTGCTATATCCAAGGAGTTTGTCATACCCTTCTTTTGAGCTGCTTGCTTTTTCGGAGTCCTACTTCGTTAAGCTAAATAGACTTTGCTGGTGCATCGGTTCTAGGCTGGGTGAATAGTTTTTTGTTCTGTCCTGTGTAGGAGGTGGAAGGATATTTTGGTATCTCAGTGTAGCAACATGGTAGGACTAGTGTGGTAAACATCTTATCTTTCCCCTTTACAATGGCTTATAATGGCTTGGGTGCATCTTGTATTTCTTTCCTTTGTGGGCAGGCATTGGTACAAGAGGGTCAAGCGTTCCAAATGTCACTTGATTATTTGCAAAATGAAAAAAAATTACTGTCTTGAAAGGGAGGAACAAAATATCCAAGCCTTTTACTCTTGCAAAACACCTAAACCATCTGATTAACCAGCAATTAACTGATATTGTTTTATTTTATTTTAAAGAATGGAAGATTAGGAATGAAAGATATCTGAAATATCTGCTTCTCTTCTTAAGAAAGGTGTACAGAAGTACCCTGGTCAATGAGCACTTTGGGGTGAATAATAATCAATAGTAAAGTTGTTTGGTTTTCTTCAGAAAAAATGAAGAATTTTCTTGGCACCTTATATTTGTATGTAAGTGATAATTGACATAATATCTTCCATTTTCTTTCAGAAAGATGCAACTGTGTGGCGTAAACCGTCAGAGGAATTCAGTGGATACCTGTAAGTTTCACAGCAGAGCAGACACATTTTTAAGGTTCCACAGACGTGTTTAGTAGACATTAGAAAATGAAGGTTGTGGTTTCCACATAGATCTGTGGATTCAGCTACACAGGTTCTGCAGAGGAGAAGCTATGTGGATCATTTAGTGTGCCTATACAATTTCTTTTTAGTGTTACACTTTGATGCTTTAGTGTTGCATGGTGTCTAGAAAAATAAACAGTGAAAACTGCGGAACACACCATAAAACTCCCATTGGCTGAAGTGGGCAACAACATGTGCTCAGACCTTTTAGAAAGAAGATCTGCAAGCCACAGAATCAAGTCCAGGTTCACTAGTCCAAAGCATTATTGGCTGACAACCCAATCAGTGCTTGAACTGTTACAGTGACTATGCTACTGCAGTAGAGTAAAATATCAAGCGTGTAATTGCCGGAAAGATGTGTGATATAAAGGCCCTTCCTGTATGAGTTTCTGTCACTGGATTCTGTTGACACTTGTAGGTTTAGGTAGAGAAATAGTTACTAAAGAATAGCACCCTGAAGAAAAGGAAAGTTGTGTGAGAAGGTAGTATTTGAAAGTATCTCAAAGACTGATACGCTCTGCGGAATTTAAGTCCTGTTGAATCTGCAAGAGCTGATGACCCCAGACACCACGAGTGTGCTGGGTGTGCAGGGCCATGGGCACACTGGCATCAACAAGTTGTGTAACTTGAACCTCTGCCAAGAGGGCAGTGGCTGCTATGTGCCGGTGAAGACTCCAGGGTTGTGTATACACCTGGTGAAATAAAGGACACTTTGAAGAGCTGTCAAAACACCTACCCATAAGCCACCAGCATGTTCACGTGGTCCTTTACTTCTGAGTGTACGGCTCAGATTGGCTCCAGCCAGGTAATTATAAGTGAATATGGGTGAATTGCGCAAGCGAATAGATGAATCTGTTGTTTGACCTAGTATTAGTAAGAACAGCTTAATGAATAAGAAGTGTTTTGAAAATAATGGGCCTGGTGGAGTCTTCCCCTTCAGGAGCTGGCAAGTATCTCTGGTGTCTACTAAAAATATCTGATAACAGTTGAATGTTCTGTAATGTCTTATACAAAATTATTTTATTTGGTACTTCTGTATGCCACCAAAGCATAACATAGTTTCTCATTCACTTGGTTCTACTACTGTTACTTCTATTTCGTGAAAAATGTTTTTCCCATTCTATTCCTGCTCTCCTTTCTTTTTACTTTTAGCTTTACGTGTCTCTTACTTGCTTGCCCAGCAAGAAGAGCAAAATAACAAGTTGTTAGAGAAATTAACATCACGATTTTTACCTGAGGAAGGAATTTGCCATTTGCAAAATAATTATTGCCACATAAGGACAAAGTTTCTCAGAATAACATTTATTGCAGAGAAGAACAGATGCACGGATAGGTCTTTTTCTGTGCTATTTTTCTGACACAATTGTCCACTGACCGTAACTCCGGGTACCAAGGTATTATAGTAAGTGTACTGTTGCAAATTAATGGAATATTTATAAAGCTTTTCTCACTTTTAAATGGAAACATACGTTTCTCTAGCTACAAAGCTCAAGGAGTGGTGGAAGATGTTACTAACAGAATAGTGGATCATATTCGCCCTGGACCTTATCGGTTAGACTGGGACAGCTTAATGACTTCAATGGACATCATGGAAACGTTTGAAGAGGTGAAGACTTGCTTGGATTCTTAAGGGAAATGTGTATAGAAGCTTACATGAATTTAACAGTATAGCAGAACAGTGAAATACTGATATTTTTCTGCATGCGCATGGGATATTGTGCATATATGTGGTGGATGACCTCAGATGATGCTTTCTGGCTGCACAATCATATTCTGAAGCTTGAAGCTCAGCCTTCCATCAATGCTAAAAACAAAGGAGTAAAACTTGGTTGGTCACAATTTTCTCGGACCTGGTAGCTTCTGGCTAATATTCACATATAGAGAGTTACAGTCGGATAGTTCATATTCCAAAGCCTTTTTGTACAGCTTGCTTTCTTCTGTTCCACAACAAACGAAATTGTGGGTATTAATAACCCACACATACAGAAGCTGCAACCTCTCCCTCTTCCTGAAAGGGACTTCGCTGTGCGTCAGGGCTTTGTGCTAGGAGCCAAAGTAATTCATACTGAGGGACAGGACTTGCCCCTCAGTAGAGGGGTGGGTTTGAGGTTGATTACAGAAGAGCTGATAGTTTTCCTTTGGTTACTGGGGACTTCAAAACCCTGTGGGCGCCTGGCTTGAACATGGATTGTCTATTGCTCTGGTTCTTAAGCAAGATTTGTATGCAGGGTGTTTTTGCTAATTATTCCCTAAAATTTATGCAAACTCTCTTGTCTTATAAGATAGCTTTTTTTTAAGAATTATTTGCATTCTGTTTTATTATTCACTTGGTGGATTAAAAGTACTTGACAGAGCATCTTAATACTGAGAGAAGCCTCCTGCAATTTATTCATGGTCCTTTCAGATTTCCTAAGTAATTTTTAAGCCACATAAAAGCCACATGGCTTTCAGTTCCCAGACATGACACAGTTCTCTAGTTTTAGTCAGTATGGTTTAGAGGTGTCAGAGATTCTCTGCCCCTGCAGTTCTCAGTTGCAGTCTACGGGTCCTTACAAGCTTCCAGCATTAAGACTGAAAATGAGGCAGCCATTCAGACCTCACTGAGGTTGTTTGCACAGCATAGGTGACAGGGGCTGTGACCTTTGTGGAAAAGGCTAGCTGCCTACAACCATCAATCTCCCTGAATTCATTATACTAATATGTTTCTGTTTTCCTGCCCTTCTTATTTTGACACTCAACAAGAACTGCTGTGTGATGCGCTACACCACTGCTGGCCAGCTCTGGAACATCATAGCACCAAGGGAGTTTGTTGATTTCTCTTACACTACAAGCTATGAAGATGGGCTTCTATCATGTGGTAAGGCACCACTTACCTCTGCTTATTTCTTATTTTGCAACAGCTTATTTTGCTATTTGGCTTAAGATTTCGTTCAAATTAGTTTAGGTCTGCAGTAAGCATCTGAAAATGGTGTAAGATTGTATCCAACAAGTATTTCAAATGTATTTTAACATTTTACAGATTTAAAGAAGTATACAAGTTACTGATTTACCCATGAGGCATCCCAGTGTGCTAAGTTTCACTTACACCAGCTATGTGACAGGAATGGTAGAGACAAGTTGAGTGCTCTGAGTCAGCTCTTACGGCAAAATGGGTGGAGTAACAACTTGCTAGTAAATGGAAGGAGTGTCTTTTTAATGTCAGAATTTCTGCATCAGGCTCTGCTTGCCTGATGTGGAGTTTGGATGAAGAGCAGACAGCTTTCATCCATGAAAATACCCAGGAAATACCCTTGAAGTGTGTCTTAAATTCCCCAAGCAGAAACTTGTACATTTTATATTTACTGTACCTTTATTTTTTTTTTTTAACTGTCTCAAATTAATTTCCTGTTTTTGTTTGTTTTCCTTGGTAGGTATAAGCCTAGACTATGGAGAGGTGAGACCTAACTTTGTCCGTGGGTTCAATCACCCTTGCGGTTGGTTCTGCGTCCCTCTGAAGGACTACCCCAGCCACAGTCTTTTGACAGGCTATATTCAGACTGAACTGCGAGGGATGCTACCGCAGTCTGCAGTAGACACTGCCATGTCTAGTACCCTGGCCAATTTCTACTCCGACCTCAAAAAGGCACTGAAAACAGACAAACAGTGACTTGAAAGCCCGTGCATTTCTTGCAATCAAATTATATTGTTTAGCTTAGCATAGGTTAGCTACTTGGTTAAGAGGTGAGTAACGTTGTTTCTGAATTATAATTGAGCCTTTATGTTGAAGGATCCAAGCAACTTTACCAAGTACTTTTTGGTGTGATACTTAGCATACATTCCTAATTCATGGTGTGAGATTCTGCTTCCTGCTCAGCACTCTGCAGCTATGTGAGGAGTGGTCTGAATCTATTAACTCCTGGCTTCCTCGGCAGAAAGCACAAGATGTGTCTGTGGACTTGAAAAACGCAGCATTGAGTTGGCTCTCGCCAGCAGTGCTGAGAGTGGAGTGCTCAGGATTTTTCTGGTGCAGGTCGCTGTACAGGCAGCATCACGTTGAAGATGTAATTTTGTAATATATATATATTTTTATATTTACTTAAAATTTTTTATTTACGTCGTTTGTACAGGTGCATCTGTAATTTGTTTTTAAAAAATTGCTTTAATTTATCATAGGGATATTACATAGCTAAGCTGTTAAATGATACTGTTCATAAGAAAGCTCTTCGCTCTTGTTAGCAAATATAAGTATTCATTATTGGCATTTCTTCAATGTTGTAATTGTAACTTAATTAACTGTTGTATATAACAGTCTCAGTGCATAGATAAAGAAATGCCCTTACAGCTGATCCAAAGCACAGTTAAGTCATCAGGTGTCTTTCCATAGTTTTTAGTGGGCTTTTAGTCATGCGGTTGTCAAAATAGCAAACCTCCAATGGATTTTCTGTGATACTCTGCACTTCTAAAGAATTTTTTACTTAAATTTGCATGTAATTGTGTGTAGGTTGGGGTTTTTTTGGCTTCCTTAACTGAAAATCCTGGAATTACTAAAGCAACAGAAAGGAACAGTAACTTGCTTCAAGTATATTGGTGTAGCCCCAACAGCACAGACTGCCAGTGTGCTGGAACTGCACACTAGAGTGTTCTGTGGTAATGGTCCTAGATAGATCTTTGCAATAAATTAAATTAACATCTTGAAATGTGAGCAGCTGAAGGCCAAAACTTAAGCTGCACAATTGCTTGGATCTGATGAAGGGTCAAATTTTTAAGGATATTTAGCTACCTAGTGATGCTGACAGGTATATAGCAGGGGCTATCAAAAGATTACTGTCTGTGCTGCTTGGAACCTGAATTCTGTTTAAAAGCTGCCATTAAGCTTTTAATGTTGGCATGCATCATTTGCTCAAATGAGATTGTAATTGTCCCTATGCTTTACCAGTGCTCGTAGAGGCAAGTTTAGCTGTGTAGTAGTTAGGGAAAGTACCTTGAAGCCCTAACATTTTGGGGCCAGTTGTATACATCTAATCCAAGGACTGGTAGTGAACTCTCAGGAAGAAAAAAAAAAAAAAAATCAGATGAAAATGGTTCCCCTGCAGTATTGGCTCTTTTGACACTGGCCACTGCAGCTCTGGACAGTGAGGACTTCTATTTCTCATTGCTCAAGCAAAAAGGTAGAAAAAACATGATGCCAAATACAGTGAGGGCTCTTCCATCATGCTTCATGTATTAAGGCATTTAGTCCTGTTTAAGACTGTTAAAAACAATGTCATCAAACAGCCTTTGCTGTCTTCGTGGGCAGAAAATGTCAACTCCCTTTTGGGTTTTGTGTATTCTGCAGTTCCCTCTAAAGTCCACTGTTCCCATCTTTTCTGTCTTTGTTTCCCCTGCAGTACTGGAGGTGCACAAGGTGATTTTTCACCACCAAGGACACTCAGGAAGTGGTGTCAGCAGAGTTGCTTTTTTCTAAATGCTAGGGTCCACTCCTTTCTAGTACTGGTACAGAGGCAAGTATGAAAGCCCTAGCAATACTGCTCTGTGGGATGAATGCTGACATGATTATAGAGGAAGCTGAGTGAAGTGTACCCTATTTATTCTTCCCAGTTATAAAGACTACAAGTATAGTGAATCTGCATATTCATGTCTTCTTTTTTTAAAACTGCTGGGGCTAATTGAGGGGTTGTGATACAGATGTATTTAGAGAAAAATACTCCATTGCTCTGTAAAAAGCCCAGTTTAAATCTACACTGAGGCACTTCAGTGCTGGAGAAATGGGTTAAAAGGAGTGCAAGACACTTACAGGATGGTGTTTGTTCAACACCAGGCACTGCAGAAGGATTAAGAGGTCCCTGTTCCAAATATCCATTATAAGGGCTTTAACACCTATCTGTATTTAGTGTTCAGTGAAATGGCTTTTTATGCTTTCAGTGAAGATAGGCCGATGAAGCACAGAGCAGCTGAAGAAAGAAGAACTTGTGTATAAATGAAAGAAAATTGCTAGTTTATTTTAAGTATGATGAAGTTTTTAATAAAAATATGTCTGTGCAGGTTTCCTTTTTGTCAACAGACTTGTTTTCAGTAATAGGCCTAGAAATTGAATGATTTTGTGAATGAGAGCAAAGCTTCTGAAGGCAAAGTAGGCCTTCTATTTTGCATTATGGCAATTTATTCCTAAAACACTGATTAAACTGGCTTTGTGTGTTTAAACAGATGCAATCTATTGCTTCTGCCAGTTATCCTGAATGTTCAAGTGAATAACAGGATAGAGACTACCAGAGACACAGAATGGAGGCAGATTTTATTTTATTTTTAAATCAATAAAAGAGCATAGTGCAATTATCCAGTTTTCAGATAAGCAGAAATCACAGAAGGTGCTAACTGATTTTAAGGATTTATTTTGGGGAATCTCACACTTCTAAAAATTTTTCTGATTTAGGAGTGCAGTGATTGACAATGTATGCTGATTATGCTGCCGAAGCAACGCGTAGCTGATGCCTCTACAGTCATTATTCCAAGCAGTTCAGTTATGGAGTAATACAGAACTAGAAGAAGGATGTCCAGTTTCATAGTGTGTTGTATTTATTTGAAACGAAAACCTACTATCTTTTATATATGCGAGGATTGAGAGGATTCTTAGATTTTGAAGCACAGCTGTTCTTTAACCAGAGTACGTTCAGAACAAAGAAACCCACAAAATCAAGTACTTACCCAATCAGAACCTCTTTTCCTACCATGCCATTGTTTTCCTCCTAAATTAGTGGACAACCTAGATGGAGCCAGGACAGTAAAAACAGGAAAGCGGGGTGAAAGGACAAAGTGCAGGAGCCCAATTGTTTTGCTTATTAGGAGGTAGTAGGAGACAAAGTAAATGACCTAGTATAGATTTCTGTCATCCTCACAGCAGCAGAATTCCCGCAGGTTTGTGACATTTGCCAGTACTTGAGTTTAAGTGTGTTTCAGTTAAAGTGGAATATAGTTGTCTGAAAGCAACTTCTGAACGAGGTACCCAAGAATAGCGGAGACCAGTTTTTGCTAGGGAAATAGCATGTATATAGGCACATCAAAATTATTTTTATATGACTAGTATTTTTTTAAAAAAAATTTACTTTTTCGGGGGTTTAGACAATATGTCAGTCTAATCTTTTGCACTTTAACTAGGTTCTCTGTGCGTGGATAGGAAAGCTGGCTAAAGAGAAGACAATTTTCGTGTTTGGCTTTTGTTCTTCATCTAAAACCTCCAGCATTAAACCTTGCCTGTGGTTGTGCTCCTTATTTTACACATGCAGAAGAGAAACTGGGCTAAGTTCAATTTGGGGTCAGTCTAATGTACTGTACCACAGCCTGCTGGGAGGTGGAGCAGTACTTCAGGTAGATGCTCTAGGAACCGCACAAGTCCTGATTTCAAATGTAGTGAATTTATAACAGTGAAACATGATGAATTTATAAAACATGAAAAGAGTGTAGAAGTCCTCCAGCAATCATAAATAGCCAGAGCTGTTTTGATGGTGTAAGCTGGTAGCCATAATTCTAGTGAAACCAGTGAAGTTGTGCCTATGTTCAGAAAGTCAGTCTATCTTAACAGTGATTTTAACTGATTACGTTCAGCACTTCAGAGATTGTATTTATATTTTGATTGCAATTGCAGAATAAATTAAATTATGGATTCCAACAGGCTCATGATGTGGCTTTTTCAATACTTGTGCAGGTGGATGTAGCATTCCATTGCTTTGTGGGGAATTGAGTCTGATGATGTGGTTCATCTTCAGCTGCATGGTGTTTCTTATGCTATTGATTGCATTATAATTATTGCATTATTGCAAATCTCTAATGCTATCAATTCGTCTCCTTAAATTTGAAAGCCAAAAGGCCTGTCTTTACTTAGGAAATTGATTTAGGCCGAGGAAGATGCACAACTCAGACTTCTGCTAAATAGAAATCTCTTGAAAACTGTACAAATAGGATTTTTTCAAAGCTTAAATTCTAAGTATATATATACACATATATATATTGTAATGACCCCATGATTGCTGTGGAAGAACTTTATTACTTTGTCCTAGTATTACTTACCTTTTAGCATGTTTAAGAAATGATTTCTTAACCATCAAAATGAAGTTAATCCAAAGCATATGAACATGTAGCACCTTGAAAAAGGCGTATAGATGTATATTAGGGTTATAAAGCATGCTGCAACATGTATTTTGATGTGTATTTAATTAGCACCTACAACAACGAAGAAAATGCCTGGACCTTACACAGAAACTTTCCTTGTTTCTTTTACTAAACCTGCATACAGGCAGGCGAGTTCTATAGCATTTGACTGCAGAGAAAAGAGTAGAGCCCTGTTCTGCTGCTGAGAAAAGGAACTGTGACCGCTGAGATACAGCACACTCTCCTAGGGCATTTATCGTGTCAGCCTCTGCAAAGTCAGGTAGGAATAGATGTGGAGGCCACTTGGGATCTTTGGAGAAAGATTAAGAACATTAATTAACATTATTTAAAAAATAGTGATGTTTAAACCCATTTACTGGTGAAAGAGGATATGAAGAACAAGAAGGTGGGAGAAATAATAATAAACCTATGCTAGAGATTAAAATGTTCTCTAGGAAAGAATATATCCTGAAGTCCTAGACCACAGTTGAAACCTTGTAATACATTCTGCTTTTCCCAGTCTTCACTGAGCTGTGCTGGTGACTCAGTTTTACAGTATGGGTAGGGACTGATTGCTGTGGGGTTGCCATCCCTCAGGATGTACCACTAGCAGGGAGAAAACAGGCAGCACATGACAGGAGACACCTCTGCACGTTTCACAGCTGACCCACACAATAAAAGATGTCATGTCTGGGTTAAAGTGCCCCAAATCCTAAGATGTTATTCAGAACTGTCACTTCCAAAGTGGGTTTTCTTTAAAACTCCTCTATCAGTGATGCAAATCAGTACGACATTTCCTCCATACAGGCAAGGTTATGTGGAGCTATTCAAAGACCAGTTCCTGCCCAAAGTGTAATCAGAAACTGACCATGGTCGGACCTTCTGTGGGCCAGTTTGGCTGTGTCCTGGGGTTCCTGATAGAAAGCGTTTCCGGAGCTCCATCCCTGGGGCTGTGGACCCACCAGCCAGCACAGACCCAGCTCTGAGGCAGGTTATGACCCTGGAGGGGAAACCACTATCCTCAGTAAGATTCCCTGACTTTGTCAGGGTGTCCATCAGAGTGCTGCCTTTAATTTTGTTTCCAATCAGACAGCTTATTTATGGCTAGTGTACCGCTGGTACTGATTCCAGCTCCAAGGCTCACTGGGGATGCAGAGCAACGCTCAAGGGGGTGCGTCTGAGCACTTGCAAACATGAATACTGTGTTGTTTGGGTACCATACGACTCCTCCTCATCTGTATGGCTAACAGGATTTTGAGCTTCTCACAGGGCGAAGGAAGAAGGGAAGAAACAGAGCATGCCTCTTACTGGACCATGAGGAATGTCCCTGCCAACCAGCATCTGAGACACAATTAGAACATGAACATCTGTACAGCAACACAGCCCATTAGAGCTGAGATGCTGGAAGCTTCCCAAGAGCAGCAGGCACAGGAGTCTTCACCAGAAGGTGGTCATACATCAGGGAGTTGGTGACCCACACAGCCATGAACCCCAGCCAGGCCAGCCCCGTGGTCTGCTCCATGCGTGCTCCCTGGATGTGGGATAACCTTGCCCAGCTAACGACGGCAGAGGAGCCTGCAGGCAGCTGCCAGGCAGTTCCATCCATAACACCACCTGCTTGGCCTTCCCTGTGTCTGACAGTGCCGCTAGAACGTCTTGTGTGAACACCCTTCCTGCTTGGCAGCAGCAGTGATAAGTAGTATGATGAATGAAGCGATGCATTGTTTTAAGAAAACCCTGTAATAGCTCGAATAACCAAAAAATGGGGTAACCCTTCCACGGGCATGCTGTGCCAGAAGCCTGTTTGATGTCCCACAGCTCAGGGTTCTCAGCATTTTTTCCCATGCAAGATTATCTATACTACCCTCTTTTTCTTCATTGTGTTAGCTCTAATAGATAGCACTTTAAATGATATTTTACTGATGCTCATTGCCTTTTTACCAGGATCATAAGGAAACAACGCTTCCTGGTGAAAACAGCAGGCAAGATGAAGAATCAAATTTTGTATAGGCTTGGCAGGGGCAAAACATCTTTCTGTTCTGTGTGCCTCCTGAGCATCTGTGGAAGAGAAATTGAGGAACCTTGATGCCCAACACACGTTCTAGCTGCTACCCGCCTCTTGCCTGAGGCAACAGAAGTATGATAATGAAGACAAAAGAAATGAGGAAGAGCCCTTTCATGCATTTTTTTTTTTAACTGTCAAAAGTATAGAGAATTCACCATGCATGTAAAAATATCAAATCATTTCCCAAACCATCTGCATCCTTGGATGTTTCAGACAAAAGGTTACTTGCATATGTACAACACATTGAAGGAAAAAGGTGTTTTAACTGCTCAGGAGGAGATCAGAACTACAAAAACCCAGAGCTTTATAAAGAAGCAGACCTCACCAGGCATCAGCAGGAATGCAGATTTTTGTTAGTTGTGAGGCAGGATGGTTTTGTTTAACTCCCTAACTATCCTCACTTATGGACAGTCCCTCTGACTTAGTTATGTCAGGTTACAAACTTGTCAGTTCTGTCTTATGTCCCATTTTCTTGTTTGTCTCAGGCTCGCTGTAAAACCAGTGTAATGTTATGCTTTAACACAAGCTTCCACACTGCTGTTTGATGCGCTATTTTTAAGAGGTCAGTCCAAAGCACAAAAATCCTGAGCTCCAGGGGGAACTCAAAGTCCATAGGACCCATCTCCTAGTGCTCTCTTCCTTTGACTTTCCACTGCCCTTTTCCACTCTGTTATGGAGATGGGAAGAAGATAGTTTCATGAAACTGTATTAAGAACTTACGCCTTGCCTCAGCTTGGGTGAAGATTTAGCAGCATCCATGGAAGTGCCCAATTTGACAGTTTCTCTGGAGCACTACTACCACGTGGAATATCTTGGAGAGCGTATCTTCATTTATTTCTTATGTTCCCTGTGGGTTTTGAAAAGTCATTTCCCACAAAGGGGTATGAAGGGACTTTGCATTCAGGCAGTCTGCAAGCCTGAGGAGTTGTAGCTGGCAGGAAAAATAAGCTGCACCAGTACAGGACAGGGGCCAGCTGGTCAACCAGCCATTCTGCAGACCCATAGCAGTTGTGACCCATAGCAAACAGATCAGGAGAGAACACCACTGAGTGTGCTGAGTGACACATATGGAAACAGAGAAGCAACAAATAATCCTTCCAACACCTCAGTCTTGCCAAAAGCCTCCACTCAGATACCACATGCAGCTTTGGGCTTTAGGCTACCATAGTTCGAGACAGAGAGTGGTCAATTACAGGCAGAAAATCTGTATGCAAGCAAGAAGAGCAATGAAAGATCTAGGGTGTGTGTGACCTGTTACGAAACCTTTGGATTCATAAGAAATGGTTGCAGAAAATGGTTGCAGATCATCATGACAGACAAACTGTTAACTGCAACAAAAACACTCAGAACTTTAGAAAATACTTTCCAGTCACAAGAATAGCAAAATGATTTGGTAGATGGCACAAGGAAGTGGCAGTGTCTTCATTGCAGTAGGTCTTTAAAACAAGTGAGGCAAGCATCCATCTGGCATCATCATCTCCAGGGCACCCGCGTAGCCTGGACAACCTTACAAAGACCTTTCCAGCCCCTAATTCTGTACTCCACCACTAATAAAAGATTTAGTTTGTTATCCAACTGCTAAGGTTTTGAGGGAAGAGGAGAAGAGGAAATGCTATACCGAGTTGGAATTCATTCAAGATTGTGCTATATAAACAGATAACACCCATCATTACATCTCCCTATAATGATGACTATTGTTCCTTACCCTACGCTGAGCATTAGCTGTCAGCAAATAATAGATGTAAGCATTTCTAGATTTACTAGTTTATTTAGCATCGGATCAGTCATGCAAGCCACTTATTAAAAATAGACTTCCCACCGTTAAAGCAAGCATATTCTCATGGCTTATCAGCATTTCCATGCAAGCACACAAGCAGGTACAGTGGTCCCAAACACAATACAGTGAAACAACACAACCACCGTTTTTTCTGGTTCAAATTTCTCTCTGGTTCTTTTGCACAGTAACAGAAAAGTTACTACATAAACAGGCTTAGTCTGAAGTAAACAAGCAGTCCATAAATTTCTATTTAGTCGCTAACATCTTTGCTAGCACAAGCAAACAGTGTTGACAGTAGAGGATTTCTTACACATTAAGCAGTAAAAGGAGTCAGGTACACAGGACACGGAGCTAATTCGAGAGAGTCTAGTAGATACATGATGTTTTTGATTGTTGTTATTAAGAGTCCAGCCGCCATTGCTCTGAGATCAATGAGCCTCTGTAACAGGCTTATAAAGTACTTTGTGTTACAAGTCAATAGCACCATTTGTCTGTTTGTCTTGGAAGCATCAGCACATACCCTAACCATGCAGCATATACTCCTCTTGAATTAACAGAAGCACAAAACTCCCTGCTTATGGTCTGGTCCTCATCCAGCCTCAAAGCCAAGAGCCACCAGAAGCCTCCAAACAAAGGCCCAGCACGGCACAAGCCCTTAATGTATCCCATTTCTTCAGGTTAAAACCAGCTTAAGCTGATGAGCTCCTTACTGTGGGTCTGGAGCAGCCAGCCGGACTCTGCTTGGTGCCTCCCAGGCTTGCAAGGGCATGGTGGTATAGATCCTTGGGACTAACAAACTGCTTCCTCCAGGTGAGACAGACTCAGTGACTCTTCCTCTCTTCTCCCACTCCCTCGCAAGCTGGATAAGCCACCCTTGCTGTTCTGAAAGACTGTCCTTTTTATCTTAGTCTTAGGGAGTAGAGTTCATCCTCCACCTCTCCATCTTTCCTTCTCCCTGAGCACCTAATAACTTCAGAGTTAAATTTCTCACAAGCAGAGGCCTCTCAACACTGTGTATTCTGAAAAAAAAAAACCAAACACAAACCCAAAACAACCAAACCCCAAACAATGTCCTTTAGAGAACATTAAATAAAATTTCTGCTATTTAATCAGAAGCATTAGCATGACTTCTCATGGGCATGTGGTGTGAAGAAGGAAGTGATTCCTGTTGTGCATAATAGCATGAAGACACAGCTGGGGTTAGCTCTCAGCAGCTAGTAGTTTAACTGTTCTTGTTTCTAATTGCTTTCAGTACAAAAATCTCTTAGTTAGTAATTACTGTTTCCCTGCAGCCAAGATAGTAAAGATTTGAGCAGAACAAACAAGGCACACACCACTATGTTGAGGGCAGTAGGTTGGTGGTGGCACCAACCTGGGATCCTCTGCAGGGTCCAATGGGTCACTATCAGTCCCAAGGAAGATACTTCTCAAGGAAGATCCTGCTGCAGCAGGATTTAGAATATCCTTCAAAGATATTCTCAATATGCATACTGTTGGTTTGCTTGGTTTAATGAAATGTTTCTTGACAAACCCCTATTTGCCATTAAAGACTACTCCAGGCCCCATAGCAAGCTGAGGAAGAGACTGGGAGCCATATTAATAGTACAAACAAAACAGCTTTGATGTCTTACAAACAAAAAGTAGGGTCAGTGGTGGGGTTTTTCCACCTAGAGAAGGCTGGCGCTGGATGCATATGCCCTATTCTCAGAAACACGGCTAATGATGATGCCTGGAAAATAACAGAAATCAGAGAACCTGAGACCTTGAAGAAAACGCTTATGGACACTTTTCACCTTATTCCTTGTCTGGAGAAAGCTAAGAAGGAGCTATCTTTGGTGTGCTCCGTAGCAAAATCCTCTGGTGTTTTTGTTGTCTGCGTTTATCACTTGAAGTAGAGATTTGTGGTGGTGGTTGTGCTCGTTCATGTAAAGTTTGGATTTGTAAGAAACGTAGTCATGCCTGGGATCTGTTTTTTCCTAGATGCCCTGGTTCTTGCAGGTATAGTAGCTACAGTTTCTCACAGTGCAATGCAGCTATTCGGAGCTAACATTTGGAGGGTTCTGTGGTTAATGTCTGTAAAAACTGTGTCTTAATCTGCAAGATATCCTCACACAGGTGCCTTTATTGCTGTGACCAAGCCACTTGATTTAAATGGGCCTAATCATTTTGGTTAACTTCAAGCAGAAGTGTAGGATGGAGCTTAACGGCAATGTCTCAGATTCATGGCTTTCAAACAGCCATGGGTCTTTGCACTTTAGTCTTCATACACCCTGTTTGGTTAGTTAAGTATGGCAATTTGACCACTGGACCTTTGCAAAACCTACAGCTCCTCTGGCTTGTCCGGGGCGGGGTGAGAGAGAGAGAATTCCTGAGGCAGGGTTAAATGAACTCATCACAACCTCATCACAACTAATTTGGTGCCCAACATGACTGCTTTGGCAGGGGTTGGAAGCCAGCCTCCCTTGGGGCTGCAGTGTGAAGGAGACATAGATGAACAACTGTTGACTTTGTGGACAATTAATTTAAATTTCCTAGATTAATGAAAAAGTTTTCTTTTGGAAAGAGCAGCTCAAAAGGACGTGACAGATGATACCGAGGCCTGCCATGATAAAACAGACCCCTACACACAGCTCTGTGGATGAATAAATATGATTCAGTGGCTACTGGGGCATATTGTGTCTGGGGTAGGTCACACGTCACATGCAGCTGTAAATCATACCCAATGGGTTGCCTCAGCTTTTGAGTTACCAGAAAAACTGCCTAAAATCCACCCCACAGTAATTTTGATTAGGAGAGCCATCCCGAATCCACCCAATTTGGGGATAAGAGTTACAGTTTTTTTCTCTGTGATATGACTTTCTCTGTGTGTACATAGGCAGATGAAATGATTGGCTCCACGCAGTTTTGTATTATAAAGTAAATCATTATTTAGAGTTCCTGGCAACACATGGGACCAAGGTGTAAGGTCCAGGTCAAATTGGTCTGGGAGGGGTTATGAACTGACTTCACTGTTTCTTCTGCCAACACTGTAAGTGGCAATGCTGCATAAAATATGGCATTATATATACCAGCCAGTATTAAGTAAATGGTATTAAGAAGATCATTAGTCATAGCATACATGATATTTTTCAGAGTTCCTAAGCCTGATGTACTTCTTCTGATTGACCACACCCTCATAGAAGGAAAAAGGTGCTGTTGATGAAGGAGCTTCCCCGTGCTGAGGAGCAGAACGTGGCTTGGTGCTGTTCTTCTGTCCCTTTGTTCCAAACCCCTCATTCCAAGCGTCAGCAGCTCTTACAGCAATGCATCTACAGCATCCCAGGCACCTCCATCTTCTATCAGGAAACTAACTCAAGCAGCAGAATTATTTTCTGGTTCTGTCTGGCATTCGTTTCACAGCACTGGGCTATTTCTGTCAGCCAGATACAGGCTCTTGAGAAAGGAAATGGAAGGTGCCAGAAAACAGCATGAGTCTAGGAAACGGGGAGGGAAAGGAGCAACACCTCTCCCTGGGTACTAACTGGCAATGACAAATGACACCAAGGGTGGTTCATGGAGGAACATATTTATACCTGACCAGTAAGACCCAGACTCTTTTGGGAACACAAGCAACTCAATGAGCAGGAGCGAAACCATCTGACAGACCCAAGGGCAACAGCAGATTTGTCCGGGCAGCGCAGCTGAAACCTGCCAAGCGTCAGATGGCTCTTCTCCCACTGACTGGCAGCTGACAGCTCTTCCTGGGTGCCTCATGCAGTCCAGGGCCAGGAAAAAAGATGAAGCATAAAGGGGAAGAAAAACAACCAGCCGTTTGGCCACGAATGCATTTTAACGCTTGTTCTTGAAACCCAGTTTCAAATGGAAAAAAAAAAAAGAAAAAGATCCCTTTATTTTAAGCTTTGCTCTTTATGTATCATGGTATAACGCTCTGCAATGCTGCAATTTCTCAGGCGAACAGAAAAAAACTTAGTTGTAACTGTGGGAGGAGCTCTGTGCTACTTAAGAGAAGCGAACACATGCCGTTTTAACGTGCGTTGGCCACCAAGCATCTTCCTGATGCACAGGTTAAGGGTTAGATTGTCAGTTCTTGGTCACGTGTGTTGTGGATGGAATGTCACCTGGCAGGGGCCCCTGGTGCAGTTTAGGGCAGTTCTCACCCACCACAAGATGCTGTGCTTGTGTTGCCACCCCACTTTGGACCACGTCCTGTGCATGTGAAAGGCGAAGGGCACTTTGTCTTTGTATAAAGGAGCCAGAGCTGGGAAAACTCTGTACCACCGTATTTATTATAATCTTTCATACCTTGATATCCATTACACTGAATTCTATCCAGCGATGATCCACCTATACAAGAATGTTAAACACTGAGGTTTCAGTTCCAGCTGAGTAATGCTGGAACATGGCAAAAGATGGCTTAAGATGTTAGTGCGAGTGTTGATGCAGACTTGGCTCTTAGAGACTGTTCAGCAGCCTCTGTCTCTCTTTTCATATATTTATATATTTGTGGGTGTGCGTACATGTATTTTTTTAAATATATATATAATTTTATTGATAAGTTCAGAATTGCGTTACTTTGACGATTCCATTCTGTTCCTGCTTCTGTACTACACCTATCCCCAAAATACCTGAATGCATTCCAGTAATGACTACGTTCATGATTGTGTGCATGTTCTCTCTTCCACTCTGGAGAGGCAGAAGAGCATGTGATGTAGGGGTTGGAGGTTTTTTTGGTTTTGCTGGATTTTTAGTTATATGCATGTACTTCATTCCATCCTTGTAAGTTAAAAGATTCACTCTCCAAGGGATGCTGTCCATATTTCCACTGACCCTCCTTCACTGAATTACAACGGCCAGAAGTTTTACTTCCCAGACATAAAGCAAAATTTTGCTTATATTGAGAATCTAGAGTACTGTCCGTAAAAGTTTATACATCTTCTGGAATTCAGATCCTTACATTCTAGATATAACTAGACTATGTAATTATTTTCTTCTTATTTTTCTCCTCTTCCTTCCTTACAATTTTATTTTCTTCTTATTTTGCAATGGAGCTGATGGGTTTTGTTGCAACATGCAGCGTGGTATTGTGCAGGGGCTTATCAGGGACACCAAAGTTCTTTTACAAATCACTGTTGTGGTTCTATGTTCTAACTGAAATTACTCTGGAAGGGAGGAAAGGACATTCTTTGAGCTGTTACTGTTTTATAAAGTAACTTTAAGGGTGTTCTGAACTGTCTCTTTGTTTAACTTTGGTATCTCCAGGACTTGCTTGTATCCCCTCTAGGTCTAACTCTGCATCTTGCTTGGTTAGCTTCATTCCTGCTTCTCTCCCATATAAGAAGATATTTTTCATTACCTGAACGCCATGCCCTCATGAGCTACACACTCATAACCTGAGCAGCAACAAGGTAGGCTCAGACACACAAAACTGAGCTCCTCACCAGGAGAAGTGCACAGCCTCTGCACAAGCCAGGGGCCAAGGCACGGCGCTGAGGCTCGTGAGTGTCCATCACTCCATCAGCAGGCACCGCGCAGGACACCGTGCCAGGAGCTGCTGGCAGCCCTCCACCCGACACCTTCATGTGCCACGCTGAAAAAAACAGGGCCTCGGGAGCTGCACGTCAGGGATCTGGGGAACAGCACGCCCCAGGATGTGTGCGGGAGCCGAGGGACAGTCACCCATCGTTATTTGGAGATGGGTGTTTATTCTCCAGAGTTCCTCCTGTATTGGCGGCTTAGCAGACACTGCTACCCCTCTGCTCAGCTGGACACTGACAACCCCCAGCATCTTCTGCCCTTTCCCTGCTTCCCACAATGCGGTGCTGCTCTCCCTTCCCCTTCACAGCTGCCAGCTGCGTCTGTGTTTCACCTGCAGCATGAGGTCTAGGAGAAGGATCTTTATCTGGCAATGGCCCCAATGCCTGTGAGCCTCCGGCCTGGGACTCCTGGCTCTTCTGAGCCCCTTCCAAAAACTTTTTGGTTGCCGCTTTTATCCCCCTCTAGCACCACATGGCTTTTCAGAGCGCTGTGCTTTATTCACCGAGGCATGGGGTCCTCACAAAGGAGATATTGGGCAATTTCTGTCCCTCCTCTCCAGGTGCCCGACAGCCCGACAGACCCCTGAGTACCCTTCTTCCGCAGCACACACCGTTATCACAAACTTTTGCCTGGATGCTCTTTGCATTCAAAAGTTTGATGACAGTGTGTGCGTCTGCGTCTTTACAAAGCAAAGCACAAGCTTCAGGGAACCAACCAGCACCGGGCTCATGCAGTGCAGTCCCCCCTGCCCCCTGCAAGATCACAAGCAAAAGTCTTCCAAATGACCACAAATCTGCTGTGTTTTGGAGTGAATCGCTCTGAACTTGCAAAAAAACCCTGTTGTTGTGCAAAGGCAGGAAATCGTTAGCCATTTAACAGCCATCAGGTCCTCAGCCTAGCTCTTAAATATCAGACTTTCATTGGCAAATACTACAATCTGCCTGTAAGGAAAAATTTTGCTACGTTCAAATACTTCAAAACGATGGCAAGGTTCCCCCTTTTGTAGTTGAAGGATTTTGCTAATATGTTGAACACTTTAAAAAACCTAAAGCCTAGGATTTCAACAGAAAAGAGCATCAGTAATCTTCTACTTAGTTGTGGAACTGGTCCACCTCCACTAGTTTTCTGGTGTGTTCATATATTTCAGCCACGGTAAGACACTGGTGTTCTACTCCCAAGTCTGAATTATGGCAGATGCCATTGGGATGTAATTTTTCAGAGAAAAACAATGCACGTAACACTCCTTTCTTCGCTTACATGCGTACATCCTAGCGCTGCTCTGCCTTCTGTATAGTACTGTCAGACATAAGCCAGACATACTACTTTACTGAGTCACCTACTGGTGATTCGTTCAGCACAGGTATCCTGGTTGTTTCATATTGAGCATAATAAAAGAAAAATAAGCTAAACTGAAGCCCCAGAGCCTTTATGCACAAGACAGAGCTGCCTCCGAGATCGTGCTGTCATAGGAGGTCTATGCATGGCATCAGCTCCTGTTCATGATATGCTATGGTATAATTCAGCAAGGGATAACTTTAGCAATCAGCTGGCACTACTTTCCAGCTCAACAAACACCGTGCCTCAGACGAAGATATTCCTGCTCAAGCACTCATAGATGCACAATGACTGTGCAGCTGGCTCCACTCCTGCAGATTAGAAGCAAGCATCCCAAATGCAGGAGGAATAGTTACAGAAATCCCACCCTCTCCCTTCCAACCTCCCCACCGACCGAACTCGGATGGCTTCACCGCTGTAACCAGGGAGAGACCTGTGGCTGAGAAATGCATCCGTCCTGCAGTCCCCTCGCAGGAGATAAGAAAGGTAGGAAAAAAGTGAGACAGGTGGGTGTACCTATCACCTTCCCCGAAGGGATCAGTCCTACTGTACTTGTTTTCAAGGGAAAATCTTCAAAAGTGTCTTGACCTGTTCACAGCTGCCATGCCCCCACCAGCTCTTTCAACTGACCTCAAAGTGTGTCACCTGGGAAAAGGATGGGTGAATGTACTTTAAATTTCAACCGTGCTTAATTAGCAAACCTTTTTGTACAAGCTCAAAGAGTTGTAAGAAACAGATAAAAAAAATCTCAAGTACAGTACATTTCATTAGCATGCATTCTCACCTAGTAAAGACAGTATCTTTAATCTTCCTTTTTATATTAATCTAGATTACATTTTATTTATCAAACCTACCATATGAATAACATTGCATTACCTTTTAATTTCACCAGAAAAGGTAGCTACTGAATGTTTTATTAATGACTTGTTCTTTCAGTAGCTGATATATTTTTCAAGGCAAGTTGTGCAAGGCCTAACTTAACATGAAAACAACTAAAGCAATAGAGGAATACTGAGTGTATTAGGGTCTTAGGTAACTATCAGTATTAAAAAGTTTAACAAACACAAATGACATTGTTGTACATTAGGTCTTTTTGCCATTTCTGTAATATATCAATAACATTACGAAATTCACGTGCTATCAAAGTGATAACAAACAAATGTAAACGGTCAGACACACTGATGCATGTAAGTTTTTCAATTCCTATCAATTACATTCAATGAAAAAATCAAGACAGGTGAAGAGCCTGATCCTACTTTTGCAAGCTGGTCCATGCACACAGCTTTTAACTTAAGACAGAGGAGCTCTGAGTGGATGCAAGATCTGTGCTGGTGGATCACTTTGCAGGAGCGGTCCTTGTTAGGAAAATCTGGACTAATTATGCTGACAAGTGGAAACTGGTTACTCATACGGTTAAACTACCCAGGAAGCAACTAGAGTATACTATTTGCTCCCAGACCTTGTATAAGAGTGTTTCCCCAGAGCAAAATCATTAAGTTGTGGAATAGCTTCCTTCAAGCATTTACAACTTGTATAATTGCAGATTATTCCCTTAGGCCCTAGAAAAACATCTTCTAGCTGCACAGTTTAGAAATTAATGAATAAATATAATGGTATTTCAAAAATTTGCATCTACTCTAACCCTCTTTTAGTCTATTGTTTTGTTTTGCTAACTCTTTACTAGAGAATGAAATGGCAGAAAACTGAGTGATTTTGGTTGTCATTAAAATACTGTATATAAACAGGAAAATTCAGAATAAGGCATTCTCAACACAAGCTTGAGGAACATACATTTTCATGCCTAGTGGAACTAACATTTCAATTTCTTCCCAGAAGTAGTGGAATGTTTTTTGCATATAAATCCCCAAATACTTTTTGAGTTTTACAGATAAAAAGCATTATCTCGTACATCAGTTTTAAAAGCATTGGCTTGGTATTTCCTTCCATTTCGTCTGCTGCAGCACTATGAATCTGAAAGGAATCAGTTCAAAGAAACTCACGACATACAGAAGACACCTACTTCCATAAAACCAAACTAAATAGTATTTTGTTTCAAATGCCATCTAGAAACACTGGATAGATGTATATAAAGCATACGCATTATGGTAGGTAGTTATTTATCCCCATGTTTTCACCTGCCGGTATTACTGCAAATAACACTGTTTCCATGACATGCCTTATGGAACAGTTTACTATTTTCATAAGCAGTCACATGCATTGAAGGTAGGATCACCAGCCAGTGCATTTGGCACCCCAAAGCAGAACCAGAGAGGCCAAGCTTACGAATCTCTCTTGCTGAATGACAAGTTAGCTGGTGTATGAAATGACGTATTCTCAGCTGAAACAAGGAAGCCCATCGACCTAAGACATTTCTTCTGGAGCTGCTTCTGCTTCCTGAGTGGGTTTCTCTTCGGGTTTGCCATCATGGACGGGAGATGGGTTACGGCTGGGCTTGTTGCTGTCGTGGGCGCTGTGACCGCTGGCGCTGCCGAGGCGAGTCGACGCCACCACAGCTTTTACTGCAGCCTGAGAAAGAGAGGATCAAGCAAAGATTCCTTAAAGGACAGGGTCTGTCAGCAGTGCAGCCTGAGCATCATCCCGCGAGGGAACGTAATCACGTTTAGCCTTCATGGCAGTGTCACATTCAGATACCTGCCTGGGCCTGGACAGATTTAGGCAGCCACCTGGAATACCGGACTGAAGTTTACAACTGTTGCATTCACAAGGTTGCAGGTTGGCCAGCATGAACAGAATATTTTTTTTCAGCTGCACATGGCACTCTTATCACTGATTATTCCATTAAACGTTCACAAAAGGAAGCAATATTTATCACTATTGCACTATTGCGTATGTCATGCACAATGGTGCAGAGCACACAGCCAACTTCTTATGTATACATATAAATACACATCGGGCATAGGCTCTCACATCACATAAAATGTCACAAAATGAAGACATGCATCAGGATAGTTATCTTAGCCTTTCCCTTGAAGAGTTTTATTGCCTGAAAAAACAAACATACAGAAGCAAAGAAAAGAAAACTCGCAGACATCCACATTGGTGGCAAGATGACTTTGGACAACAGATTACGAACAGAACAGGCCACTCAATATTATAAAGATACTTTTAATGTAATTGACTCTCACTAACCATGTGGATGATTATGAAACAAATTCAGCACAACCTGTGAAAAACCAAATCATGACTGGGAGCTTTAGAGTTATTCTATAAAGACATGTCTTTATGTAAAGAAAGTCTGCTGCTGGATTTGTATGTTGGGAAAGAGAGGATAATTTTATATTATTCTTACTAACAAAACAACAACTAAAGCATGTATTCACTACTTGGTTTTCTGCTCTGTTCTTATTTTTTGGACAAGAATTGTCTAAAAACTTATTATTAATTTCATACATATAGATATAAAATACATATATGTATATATACATATATGTGTAAAGCTATTAACTCTACCATAACTGGTAACTCCAGTTAATTCTCTTAAGGATTGGAGATTTTGTCATTTAATCTTTAATAGAAAAGCAATGAAGAAACAAACTTATAAAAAGCAATAGCTTTTAAATAAGAAAGTATAAATGGGTTGGCTATAGGGATCTAAATAAACTGGGCTTCAAAACAGTATCTTGTTGTTGATCAAAGGTGTACAAATATAAACACAAGCAAAATAAAAACATGCAAAAAGGGCATGCATTTCTTCGTGACCTCCTGGGCAGGAAATCTAACAGCTCACTCAGAAATAATGAAATTTATGACTCTGCTCATGCTCTGAAATAATTTTGATATAACAACATTGCGTGGCATTTTCAGTGGATAGACAGCAATCCCACTGTAAGGCTACAGAAATCTTTCTGAACAGAACAATGTTAACATATGTGTTTAGTCAATTCTGGATAGGCAAAACATCACTGTGAACTGTATCTACAGGGCCTGAGACCTTTCTAAATGACAAAACTTTTTTCTTTGCCCTGTGGAGATTCTCTGTCACAGTTCCCTAACAATACTGAAGGAAATAAGCTCTCAGACAAGATGCTTTTTACTCTTATTCCCTGGGGCTACAAGAGCAGCTTCTCTATAGCTCTTGGTAATAATTTCTGTGCTGAAGTATCCCTGGAAGTCTCTGTTAAGCCGACACAAATCTTTAGCAACTGAAGAAGGGATCAGGGGAGAAGAAAGCTTCCCAATGTTACGTCAGTTAGATGCCCAGCTGCCTGCTATTTGCACCTAAAAATGTTTCCCTGCTTCTTCCCATGGTGGGTACGTAGACTAGAGAGCACAGGAGCATACTCGTGACTCAAAACCTAAAGTTATTTTCAGCACAGGTCCCACCTGCACTCCTGCCTCGCAGCATTTAATTTCTAGATAAAGAATGGTATTGCACATTGATTCTCAAGGGTACTTGGAAATGCAAGTTTTGGGCCTGGTAATCTCAATTCACCCATTTTATGGAACTACATGTCTGAAATGCTGACTCTAAATCCTACAGAAGTATGGCTTAAGTCCCTGCTTTGTATTGATAGGAATAGAAACTGAGGCTGGCTTATAGATCAAAATACGCTATAGTACATTAAATATCTTCCAGATTTATGGATGTTCATGAAGAAACTACTCAGAATTTTGTTCTTTCTTGTCAGTACTGTATGGATGTGCAAGCAGTACAGGACAGACAGGTGGACAGAAGCAAGAAAGGAAAAAGGGAAGGAAGGAAGGAAGGAAGGAAGGAAGGAAGGAAGGAAGGAAGGAAAAGAAGGAATTTGTAAAAGCTGTGTACATTCTCAACAGCTCTGTCTGTGCAGAGAGAGTCTTCAATCAGCCTCATGCATTTTTATTTGTCTGACTAAATCAGCTGCAACTTTTTAATTTTCACCAGTCATCTTAAATAAAAAGCTTCCATACCACTATGGAATGTTGTCCTGAAAAGTGTCCAAGGTTTCTGTAAGGCTATCCATTGAGTTGCATGCTTTTGTGGCCAAAACAGAGGCTATGTCCAGAGACTTGCCTTAAGTTTACGCCGGGCATTGAACTCTTGAAGTTTCTTTTGTGCATTGTCCATATGTGCGAAGTTTGCTGCCTTCCCTGTGACCCATGGGTGCTGCAAAGCCTGTAGAGTGGTGAGACGCTTCTTGGGGTCTAAAACAATCAACTTTTTAACCTGCATCACAAGGAAGAAATTACAGAAGACTGTTAACCTTATTCTTCATTTACATTTATCGATCTTTGCATTTTGGGTTTCTGGTCTTGGTTTGGGAAGCATCTTAGTGAAACACATTCTAAGAAACCGACAAGAATTTGCATTCAGGTCTTTGCATGTATATTTTTTTTCTCAGCATTTCTTGCTCCTCCATAAATAACACCTGAATGAGACAACTACTAAGGGGGAAGAGAGGACGAGAAAAAGCCACTGGTTACCAACATGTGTAATAGCATGTACCAATGCAGCTGGTCGGTATCTGCCATAGGCTGTTGTTTGTCTGAATTGTCACATAAATTGTAAGAGATTCTCAAACCACTGCCATCCAGGCAGTTCTCTTAGCAGTATCCCCACTTTTGGATTTGGACAAGGTTTAAACTGGATTAGAAACTTCAAATTCTAGCGTGTGCAAATCATGGCAGACTTGTACCACGCAGTCACTGCCAGGTACCTCACAAATGATACGTTTCTTTCTGTCACCATAAAACTTCATGTACACATGAACTAAGAAGTCCTGTACAAGTATTTCTCTCTTAGCCCACTCTGAACCTAATGCTGTTCATGCCATCCTTTCTGTTATGGAGACCAGGGAAGCTGCATCTCTCCAAACACAACAGTAGGACATTTTTGGCAACAAAGCACTGCAGACATACCCCTGGGAGTGGAGGTGGTACAAACTGCTGGGTAAAAAGTATGTCCAGTCAAGCTGGATTTCATGGGTTTTGCTGTATGTCTGGACAAGTGGTGTTTAAAAAAAAAAAAAAAAAGAAGGATGAGGACGGACGGAGTAAAGGAGTACACAGATGGCACTCAGCAGAGTCACGCTTATGCAACCCTTCTGATTGCACACCCTTGTGGAGCAGAGTGCGAATGATGGCACAGGGCTCCACCACGGCCGTGTGCCCAAGTGTGAGGGGAGGACTCGCTGCAGAGCTCTCTGAAATGTCCCTACAAAGAGCTATTAAAGAAAGATGGTGCCCTGAAGTGGGCGCAGGAGAACAGGAATGGTGATGAATACCCACTGTGCGTCCGCAGAACAGGTCAAGTTAAACAAACCGTTTCAACTGAACACCCCAGAACTGCCCACAGCATGGCTTTTGAGAGCCATGGGCTTCACCCTGATTTACAACTTGCTATACGTTCAAACTTGAGACTCTGAGCTTTACTGTAGCAAAATGGCAGAGGCCAGTTTGGACCAGAGCTCTTTGTATACAATAAATGAGCAGCTTTGCTGCAGGGTGCTGCTTGTCTGGGTTTTGACAACACAACACAGAAAATGGTATTTTTTTTGACCTCAGAAAAGCTTTGTATCTAATACAACAATAAAAACTTCTTTGAACTTCTACAGTCCTTCCATTTGTGGCTTTCTGAAGTACTTTAGAAACACTAATTATGCAGTATTTTATGGAACAGTTTGTATAAGTAATATGGAACTAAGCATTTGTGTCTTCAGTGCTAATGAAATACTGACTTTTGCAAGTTATTGTTGACTAAAAATGAAACACAAGCATAACTATATTTGCAGATCAGTATCTCTTGGATCCAATTGACTTCATCCAGTAATAAAATAATATAATGCAGATAGCATGCCAGCCATTGCATTTTGCTAATGGACCATATTTAAAAGTAATGAGTCGTTCCTCATCTACTAAGAAAAAGCTTAAATGGACAGAAAAAGGCTGTCAGCAAAAGCAGGGGGAGAGGCCTCACTCCTTTTTATATTCTTCCTCCAAAGTTCAGGCTTGAAAACTGCACAAAGTATAGGGCTTGTTTCTATGTTCCCCTGGAGGTAGTTGCCTTGTAAAGAGGAATGATGAAACAGCTCAGAGCTATCATGAAAGGCAGGCACACGTGAACACTGTGACAGCGGCCAACAATCTCTGTCTTAGTTCACAGAAGGACCTGAACATGATGGTTTTGAGCACAAAATTATGGCACTGGCCTAACAGGGGATATTTTACAGCACCGTAATATACCAGAGATAGTAAGAAGAAAAGCAATGAGCCATACAAAGAATAAATTAACCAATTATTCTCCCCCCACCCCAACATGGACTTTCTTTCTCGGTGGAAGTGACACTAGCCAAATACATATCAGCAAAGATAGTCCAGTCTCATTTTTGCTTTACTTACTAAATCCTTGGCGTTCAGAGAGACATCATCCCACCAGGGGGACACAAAGTCATATTCACAGTTCAGGATTCTCTTAAACATGTACTGATCTCCCCTTTCATCATAAAATGGTTCAAAGCCACAAAGTCTGCAAGGATAAAAAAGACGTTTATCAAAGATCAATTAGCTTTGGGTTGTTAGAAACAGTACCTGGCATTATCTTTCCCTACTTTGTGTCTTTGGGAAACCAGGCCTGGATGTACTTACACACTCCTAATTCTACAGAGCAGAGCAAAATGTACTCATAAGTATTCACAAGCACTGGGAAAGGCTGATCAAACTGCAAAGTTTCCATTTTCACATGTCTGTAACTGGAAGTACTAATACAGGGACTTACCACAAGAGTAGCCATGCAACAGCTAATACCTGTTTACCTTGTACATGTCAAGAAATATTTTCTAGCACCATTTCGCTCTGCTGGTCTCAGGCTGAAGTCCCTTGGATTGTTTAGTTATTCCTCAGTCTGAAACCTTTGCTCATCCCTGCTCTCTTCCTGTGAGTCTCCTCCAGCTGTGTATCTTTTTGAAGTGGGCGCAAATGTCATTCAGTGTGGGCACACCACAGTGTTGCAAATCAATGTAATGATGCCTTCTATTTTAATCGCCAATTCTTTGCTAGTAATTCCTGACCTTGGATCTGCTTTTTTGGATTATTTACAAGCACAGCATTAAGATGTTCATTGAGGAATTATCAGAATCCCTGTACCTCTTTCCTGAAAGATAGGCATCAGCTGAGGAACCACATTTTACCTGTGAAGTTAGAAGTTTTTGTATTTCCAATTAGGACTGTTATGTTTATCACTGTATGTATTTTCATCATATCACCCACAAAGCATAAAAACCTTCAGCAGGTTTTAATAATCAGCCCTCATCTTTACTCAGGTAACCTACCTATTATCAAGAAATTTTGTAATGTCACTAATGACTGCATTTATGAATATCTTGAATAACACAGATCTCAACACAGATCCATGCTACTGGCCCTGGAGAAAGCAAACTCATAGAAGTGGTTTCCATTTAGATAATGTCCTTTTTTGTCACTTCGTTGCACTTCAATCATGCTTGCACACATAATCAGATGTTTTAAAGTGAATTTTCTATTCAACCAGTAAGTATTCTGAGCTAACCAGAAAGTCTATCTGCTACTCTGCCTCCAGAAAATGCAATAAGCGATGAGATGATGACAGGAAAACAACAGCAGACCATAAAGAACAAGACAGCACACAAATCTAGGAAATGTAACCTTGCATTTTAACTTTTTTGTTTTGAAACCCAATCAGTGTGCTTACTGTCCTGAAAAAGGAGACAGATGCTTAAGGAAGAAATGTAGTTTGGGGAGTGGTGATCACCCGCAGGTGGAACAGCTGCACCACTTTGCACTGCTGAAGAGGAGAAAACCTCCACTGTAAGCACATTCTGGGCATATTATTAGTTTCCAAGTCTGGCAGAGATTGATTAAAACACGAGGATACAGCCTCCAAAACCTGTGTGCTTCAGTAGGTAGGAGCCAGGCACAGTCCCTTTGCTGCTCCCCTCCCACGTGTCTGCCTCTCCCACCACCGTTTCTGAGCTCGCTTCAGGTTGGGTTGGATCCCCATGGAGCACCTTTGCTGAGCAGGGTTGTTGGGCCACTAAATGGTTCAGCCAAAACTGGCTCCTGGATACCAGGGCACTGATGACATACAGTGAAACCACGCTTAGGGCTTGCTTTGACGGTGTTGGGAGTGATTCTCTATTTACTCTTGAAAACATTTTCATTGTAACTCACTACAATCACATAATGTTGTCTTACATGCTTCTAGCTAAAAAAAAAAAAAAAAATCCATTTCAGCAGACAGATTTTTTGCTACGTGCCAAATTAGATGAATAAAACTAGAGGTGTGATTTCAAATTAGATAAACCAGGGTAAGACCCAGTGTGGCTGCTCTTGACTTCATTTTATTATGAAATTTAATTTTATTATGCTGATCCATTTTAGATTAATTACCTACCAAATAAAGAAAAAATCAGCGTAAACGGCTTCAAAAACAGTTAGAAATGACCAGGCAGTCTTTTGCGCCCTTTTAAGTAAGTGGAAAAGAACACCTATAATTAAATCCATGCAATTTTGACTACAGGCAAAGCCTCTACATATGTTGACCACTATCTGCATCTCAAAGGTGTAGTAGCATCTCTAACCTGCTGCAGGAATATAAAAGGACTGGTCTTCTTTACTGTTAACACTGGAATTATGACAGTTACTATCAATAGGTCTTTATATAATTTGCCTCAGGAATAATTGTTCTGTTAAAATACGTATTAAAGTTTTTCTTAATCATGGGGTAAGTCCGCTTCATATTGGTGAGAACACACAGCTTTATGCATGCCTTTTGTAGCATGATAGTTAACTCTTACATCCACCTCATTTTGGAGGCACAGCAGCGACGCATATTTTTGACTGTACGTATGTGCATTTCTTCTACTAAACTGTAAGACTGAGACTTGCAACACTCTCCTTTAGCTTCAGGATTAATGAATTAGTTACTGTACAGGTACCTTTCTGGTCTCAGCTCCTAATCTATCAGAAATGTTGTTCTCCAAAGCTTTAGATTCAATAGGAGAGTTTTAAATGTGGAATATTATTAAAGCTAAATGGAAGATGTGGCCAAGTGGATTTGACTAGCACTCTTTTTACCTGGCTTGTTCCTGTAGGTCAAATTGCAATGGCTAGGTCCTGTAGGTCAAGAGGAGAGGAACAACAAAAGAAGAAACAGAGGTGTATCTGTACACTGGTGGTGTCTCACCCAGATCAGAAGCTCTCATGCCTGTGTTTACACCAGTGCAGACGCTTAATGTGGCTTGGGAGCATCTCCTGAACAGCTGGAAGGTTTTGAAATGCTGCATACAGCAAATGCCACTCCATACATTCAAAGAGGAATCTGCTGTATGTTCTCACTTGGAAGTTGCCTACTCTTGAAAGCAAGTTCTGCTTAAGAAAGGCTCTCAGTTTAAAGTACAAGATCTATCCCTCAGTTGTTGAATAACTAGGCAAGCCCGTGGCACCTCTCCAATTTCAGGGACAACCCTGCTGGTGAATTTCACATCTCTCTGCTGTGCCTGGACAGGTAGAACCAACAAGAAGCGATCATCTGAGCTATGATCTTCTACAGACTTGAACTAGGCCTTGAGACAGAGATTCACATTTTAAAAGGAGAAGATAACAAAACAGCAAATAGGAATATTGTACCCTATTATTTACAGGCACCTGAAAGGAGACCTGTGACTTACTTGAAGCTAATGTACGGAATAAAAGATTTTTTCTGATATCTCTATCAGAGTGTACTTTTAGTATAAACTCTAGAAAATATAATTTTTTTTCAAAAGACCTAAAGAAAATAACTATATCGTTACACACTGTACTTGCTGGGCACAGTTAATGAGTCCTAGAAGGGGAAAGAAAATGGCACAGATGTATAAAATCCTCCATATCTTTAATGTGCATGTGTAAAATCCCATTTTCTTCCCACAAAAAGCATCTTGCAAGTATTGTATACAACTACACAAGCCAGCTTAGCATTGGTGTTGCCAAGGGAATAAATGAGGTTATTTATTCACCCATAAAGAGGAGTGTCAATACATCAGATACAATTTTCTTTTCTCTCTAATCTTCTTTTGAAAGATTCAGTTGACACAGTAAAATAATTACAATGCTTACCAGTTGAATTAGGACTAGCCATATGAAGATGCAGACACAAGTGCCTACCTCTAGATGCAACTGTTTGAAAATTTTGGTCTATAGTTGCAACTTCAACCTGTTTAAAATATGTATGGCTAGCATCACTCTGACATGCCCCCGTTAATGGTGTCTCTGGTTATTTTGTAGGAAATGGAAGACTTCAACATGAACCATTTAACCCATTGGACTAATTTGCAGACAGAGTCCAGGTCTGTTCCCTGCCTCTTGGCTGGAGGTGCTGTGAAGACACCAACACATTCATTTTAATAGCATGATTCTGCCCAGACCTTGCTGCTGTTCAGGAAGAAGTGTTGTACTTATGACATATATAACCGGACTGTTTCGCCATGCTCCTCTAGGATCTGACTTAAATAAGATTAAGAATATCATAATTAAAGTTTGGAATCTTGTGTTTTCCAACAGCACAGCTCATAATGTCATAAAAACCTGCAAGTGCTCACAAACAAACCACTCCATGGCACCGTCTGCACTTACAGGATATAGGTGATAATCCCCAGAGACCACATGTCCACCTCGGGGCCATAGGCACATCCCCGTAGTATCTCTGGTGCTGCAAATGATAAAACACTTGTCAATAAGATGAAAGTTGAATGCAGAAACAACAGTCACAAAGTCATTTTAAACTCTTTGCACAATCGTGTCTATTAAAAAGTTAAGGCCTGATCCTTTAAGACTTTAATTAGGCAAATGAGGCAAATGATTCCCTTCCCTAAGTATAAAGCAACAGAAGTTGTGTTCTAGCACAGCCAGAATAAAATGAAAAGTGGACTTTGGCTTCAACTGGAGCTGCAATGTGACAAAGCAGGTGGCACTTTTACTTCAGTATTTTACTTACTTACTTGTTACTTTATTTGGGCTTTACTTTGGTATTTTGTTTTAATTGCAAGGAAAGACAAGACCATTCCAGGGAACTGCTTTACCTGCAGTGCAGAGGAGGTGGAAAGGCCAGGCAGCCTCGGGGGACTCCGGAGTCGATCTCTGCCCAAGCAGCTGGACAGACACACTTCAAGGAAAGCTGAGCAGATCGCTGTATCCCTCAGACAGTATCTCTTGTTGCTGTGTGTGACTAAAAATGCTCAGGCTTGCCGTGGCTCCACACACCCTCGAGGTTTGCCTCTGATGGGTCAAACCTCCCTGGGCAAAGCTCCCGAGGTGGCAGGATGAAAATGCCACATCTCCAGAGAAGAAAATGGAAGGGCTTGATACTGTGCGAGGCAAGACCCCTCCCTCTCCTCACCTCTTGGACACAGACAAAACCTCCCAATTAATTTGGGAAAAAATAATTAAAAAGACACCAGTAAGCCACGTATGAGTAGCCCTTCTTCTCAGCAGCCATTGTATCTGTATTAATACCCACCAGATGTACGGGATGGCAGCAGAGCCCCTGAGCCCACTGGCCCTGTGATGCAGGTGGGATGGCTGCCACTTTTCTGGGGCACAAGGTACCTGCAGCACCTTCACACATCCATGCTGCAGCACGTACCCATCTCTTCACCTTCCTGCATTACACTCTCACAGCCATGAGCAGCAGGGACAAGAAGGGCTGGGGTTTCCCTACATGTATGACAGCTTCCTGCTCAGCCCCAAGTCCTGGTTGCCCTCCGGACTGACCCAGGCTGCTGGCAGGCTCCTGCTTTGCTCCCAGCCTCCCGTGGGAGGTCTCCGTTGGGATGGCTAGCTCTCCTGAGGGATGTGCTGCCACAAACCAAGGCAGCAAGGCTCCTCCAAGCATGAATTTAATCAGATTATATGCAACTCCCTAGTGGCCTCCAGGCAGCTGGCTCAGACTTCTTCAACTAACCTGGAGGATTTACCATGCAGGGAACACATCCAGCATTTTTGCAAAGTATTAATACAGAAGGCAAAGGACATTAATCACTAAGTTTGCTACATGCCACTTGTACAGCTAGCAGCCGGGCAAACGCTTGCCAGTCTAAGCACAGACTTTCCCTGCCTCCTTATTCTTCAGCTAGGTAAACTGACAAAGATAAGGGCTGTTACTGAGAAGGGCTACTAGATCTCCACTGATTTTAACACAGGTCAACCTGTAGCTAACAGGACAGCCTACAGGCAAAGCAGCCAATGGTCTCAGAGAAAGAGATGGAGGCAGACCAAAAAAAGAGATGTTAATCACTGCTCTTTCTGCCACGTTTGTTAATGCCATGTGTGAGGTTCTGAAGTAAATAGGGCAGTTTTTCTGTTTAATGGCCAATACTCTTCCTCTTCTAGGGAATACAATGTTTCTTGGGATGTCTTCTTGCTCAAGATAAGAGCAGAAGACACTTTCTGCCCATCTTCCCCTTTTCTCCTCCTTCCACCCCAGTATTGTAAAATGGCCACAAAGGACCAAAGATTTTCATATACTGGTCTGCCTTGCTATCTGGACTGTGATTACACAGTTATACTTCTTGTAAATAAGGTTTATTAATATTTCCAGAAGTTTGCTTTTGGTGAATGGATTCGGCTGATGCACTGCTGTTAGTTTAGATGTTGGCTGTAGCAGACTGACCTTGAATCACTGCTCTGTCCTGGCTTATTTTTATGTGCTACTGTCAGAAATCACTTATGCCCTTCTTGTTAAGTTCACTGAAAGCACAATGTCTCAGTGTTAAGTCCCGGGGCTTAACACTCAGCAAATTAAGTTCTTTGTTACCATCTTCTTGTTTCAGTCCTCTGCATCACTTTGCGTGTCCCAGGGTATGGTATTGATATGTCTTGATGCCAAAGTATTCAGACTCCAGTATGGGTTTTTGTTACTGTATCCTTCCTGGAGAGGCTGCTGATAGCTGGGTGGGCAGGATGTGGGAGTTGGCAGTCTATGACTATCAATTATTCATAATTTAATTTGGCATTTCAACAGTGTTCCTCCTGAGTTTCCTCCACTTCTGTAAAGTAACGCTTGAATACTTTCCAGGCACCAGGAATTCTGCATGCTCAGTTAACCCAGGTCATAAACCAAGGATTGCAGGTCCATGTCTATAGGCACAAAGCTCTTCTCTTCTCAGCTTAGACATTCAGCCTCAACCCTCCCCACCAAGTCATCCCTATGCTTAGGGCTCTTCTACAGGAGTAAGACAGTATACAAAGACAAGCATATAAAGGGCAAAATACTAACTACAGTTTTATGGCATTTGTAGTATAACTGTCACAAGAGAAGACAACCAGAACATTAATAGCTAATACATGAAGTACGGTTTTATGACACTAAGCAGACTGGAATTCAGTGCTACTCTAAAGCCTACTTGGCACGTGTTTGTGAGCTTGATGGAGAATGTCATACCAGGTAATGAATGTGTCACCTGAATTGCATTATCAGCTGTGCTACAAGGTAACAGAGTAATCTTATGGTCTTCTCCAATGTCCTCTTCCCTTTGCTTCTACAGTTACAAAAGCAAACGCCTAGTCTTTAGTTTCCACATGGCTTGGCTCAGCTCTGTCTACAACTACTCAAAATGTGTATACCATCCAGCACACTGCTAGCAACTTGCAGCCTCTTGTAGGAGCCCATTCAGCATCTACAGCTCAGCAAGAATGGCAGAAATTGGTTTATCCACAAGATCATGCTGGCTGCTGGAGGTGAGCACCCACCATGGGAAGCCCAGCAGACTTAAACCTAGTGTTAACGAGATCAGCAGCCTCCCTGGCCATTAGCTGGTTTACTGAGGCGGAAGTGCCTTGCAATGAAGGGCGAGCAGACTGTAGAGGCAACTGCAATCCTCTCTTGCTGGAGGGGCTCCTTAATTTGCTTCTTTGTTCAAGGTCTCACCTTGGATGCTGTGTTCAGTTTGGGGCCCCTCACTGCAAGACAGACATTGAGATTCTGGAATGAGTCCAGAGAAGGGCAATGAAGCTGGTGAGGGGTCTAGAGAACAAGCCTTAATGAGGAGTAGCTGAGGGACCTGGGGTTGTTCAGCCGGAAAAAAAGGAAGCTGAGGGGAGAAGACCTTCTCACTCTCTCCACTACCTGAAAAGAGGTCCAAGTGAGGTGGGTGTCCGTTTCTTCTCCCAAGTAACAAGTGACAGGACAAGAGGAAATGGCCTCAAGTTATGCCAGGGGAGGTTTAGATTGGGTATGCAGAACCCTTTTCTTCACCAAGAGGGTTATCAAACATCAAAAAAGGCTGCCCAGGGAGGTGGTGGAATCACCATCCCTGGAGATAATTTAAAAAACATGTAGACATGGTGCTTAGGGACATGGTTTAGTGGTGGTTTTGTCAGTTTTACGTTGATGGTCAGACTTGATGATCTTAAAGGTCCCTTCCAACCTAGATGATTCTATGATTTTATGACCTCTGACCTGGGGATGCTGCTGCTGAGGAAAAGTCTGCTGTGTGCAGGGATGGCCAGGCTGGGCATGACCCCTCCTGCAGCAGGACAGGCTCCTGTCACAGCCCCGTGGGCAGAGCCAAATGCTCCGGCCCCATGAGGGGATGGCCACTGAAGCTCCCCAGCATTTTTTAAACCATATTTTTTCAAGATCAGTTGTATGCTTGCTTTCTCCCTACTGCGGCAGGTTATGTGCTTGAACTCTGTTTTTAGGTTTTGGACTTTTTGGGGGGTTGGTTTTAGTTATATCCTCTTTTGGTTATTGATATCTGACATATAGCACAACTATGGCATTCTTTGCCAGATGTTATGCATATGGCTATTGCAGTGCTCACTCTCTGTTCCACTTATTTTCTACCCAAAACAATGGAGAAAAAACACACAGTCCTAATTATTCATGGACTGTTACCAGTATTACGTTTTTTTCACTTGCTTATCAAAACCTCACTCTCCGATATGACAGTGAGGGAACATGTTTTTACCTAAATGCGATTCAATGGAGATGTCTTTTAATTGGAAGTATGAGTGGTGGTTTTCTTGCATTCAGATTAGAATGCATTATTAAAAGCTACAAGATTGAGAAGCATGAACTAGCTGTGATTTTGGAAGAAACAGAAACATCTTAGAACAGGACAACTGAGATGGAACACAGTTTCTAAACTTTGTGCACATCTTTCACACTTAAAAAAGTAGAATGCGTCCTTACAAGTGACCAAATGAAAAATATAAACCCAACATTAAGTCTATGATTTCCCGATTCCTAAATTACTAAAGGAATTAAAATTACCATTCCTGTGTAGTACAGTGCTAACCTCAGGAGTTAGATGTTTGCTTGAAGTATTGTGAATGCACAGGCAAATTAGTCAAATTAGCAGTGGTTCACACTGACATGGTAAAACTGAAGTAATCTATGAGTTCATTCTTATTTTGTTTAGGAGAAAAGATGATTAGTTAAAAGTGCCAAAGCCCTTTTACTGCTGAAAGAGATGACTAGATCTACACCAGTTGCCCCAGTTGACAAGACCTGCCACAAAGTGCTCCTTGATATTATGCTCATAATTGTGTTATACAGGTCCCACTTCAGAGCGGACCAGAAGGGTCTGAGTGAAGCCTGCATTTAAAACCATGTATTTGCTGAATTTTTGGGGGTTTAGGGGACTAATTTAAAGCATAATTTGACTTCATCTATGTTAAAAAGAAATTACTTTAAGATAAACTCATTGTAAGCAATATTCAAATATTCATAATTGTTATAAACTGTACAAATTTTTACTGTTTTCCATTACGCCTTCCATAGTCCAAATTTCTGCTGATGCCTGTCCAATATTATTTTAATAATTTCAGCATTTTTACAACAGTCAAATTAATTTCCATGCAAGTAACAAACTTGTACAATACCATATGTTTTGATTAATAAGCTTCAGTGCTAGGGAATATGAGTTTAGAACAACTTAACCCAGTGACAGTTCTGACTTTTTGGGTTTTATTTCTGCTTTTCAGTGGCTTTTTGAATTTTGATTTTAGGAAGAAGCATTTCACCTTGGAAAGAGAAAATGTAACATCCTCACATTAAGTGCAGTACACTGTAAATAATAAAGCAACATACCACAGTACCCTGGAGTTCCGCAAACTGTCTTCATGGTCACCTGATCTTCCACAATTTTGGAAAGTCCAAAGTCAGCTGTTAAGATTATTTAGGAATATTAATGTTCTTACTTCCTTGTAAAATCAGTTTTTTAAAACATTGTATATGTAGTTAAATGAACTTCTATGCACTAAATTAACTGTCATTTCCAGAGATGAGGATCAATTTAAAGAATCTACCCAGACTACAATCCAGAAGCAAAATTTGTCTCTACAAATGAGTATTTCTGGCTCTTCCTTGACAGAAATGGCACTTGTGCTTTATCTTGAATACTGCATGATGCCAATACAATGGGATGCCCAAGGGCATACAAGCAGGGATCCAGAAATGCATTTTAGGTATATATTCAGCTTCTACTCTGTCAGTAACTCAATAAAATTACAGGAACAATTTTGGGGTAAAAAATTGTGCATCGGCGATTTCTTGGACAAGGGTCAGAGAATGCAGTTCCTGTGAGACAAATCCCGGCAGTATTTTGATACCGAGTTTCTAGGGGCATGGAGGTTGTGTGAGGAGGAGTACTGATCATCTGTATTGCAGTGTTTCCACCTTGAATTACTACTCAGACAGCAAGACCCTTCATGACATTACACGTCACACTTGCATGACTCATTTCTTAAAAGACATAAAAACTGAAGTCTTCTCAACTCTTAGTTTTCACTGAGAATTAACTGAGCTTTTTCAAATTGCAATTTAGGTGATGACAATCTAGCCTTAAAAAAGCAAAATAGAAGTATTTTTGGTTTGTTACAGTGGATATAAAAGGAAATGTTTTGACTCAAGAGCAGGATAAAAATAGTTCACATTTTATTCTAGAAATGCATAGTTAGATTCAGTTGTCCCTGAATAGTTGTCATTCATGTATTATTATTTACCTAAACAGAAATACACTTTACTTTTATAAACACTGCCACTCATTGTAAATCAGATCTCATTTTAAACAAGGCAATAATCTTAACGCGAAGAAGAATCACAGCATTTAGGCAAATGCTTCAGAAGCCCCTACACCACTCTGAGTATCAAACTAAAGCAACTGGGTCCTGCATTAAACTTACGGGAAAGATAACTAGGATAAAATGTGAAGTAAGATACCATCATCCTGTTATGCAAGACTTTCCTTCAAATTTGAATTAAATTGCTTGAGGTAGTTTGTAGAAATCTGGCTTCTGAAACCCATGATGAACATTAGCCTGATGAACATGGCAACATTCACTCCTTGCATTCTCCTATGCTCGCACGCTCCCTAGTAAGGGACCACAAGGTGGTATTTCCAAACTGGTTGCCTACATCTCAGGAGTGTTGCACAGAGCTCCTCTTTGCTCAAGAAAAAACTGGGAATACACAGCATTTTTGGAGGTCATGCCCTTTGCAAGTGGCTGCTATTGCCAACAGAACTGGCATAATACATCCCCATTCAGGAGAGCCTGGTCTCACCTTGTCCCTCCTCACCTCCTCTTGGTGCTGATGAAACTTCAGATACCTTCGCTATGCTCTTTGCAAAGATCGTTCTTCTTATCCCTCAGATCTGCCTTCAAAACAGGAGTCAGCCTTGCTCACTTTGCATTCTACTGCTTATCTGCACATTTGTACTTTCGTGCTGATTAATCTTTCCTCTTAAAATACCAGTTTAACAAAAAAAAGGGGCACAGAAGCAGTGCATACAGCTGTATGCTGGTCTCATGATCCTTCTTGTTCCTCCTGAGCACTTTATTCTCTGCCATGTTCTGCACAATTTTGATTATAAAATCTCTAAGCAACCATCTAGTTTTGTATTGGTTTTAAAAACACCCTGCACAGCTGTGCTGCTGAAGAAGTAACATGCTATTCATTTGAGTATGAGCACTAGCTTAGAATAAAGTAGTGGTGAGACATATATATTGTAAACATCAGTTAGCACGTATTATTGGTGAAAAGGAGCTAGGGAAGCATACATTTATTGGTGCTCACCGATTTTTAGCGGTGCATCTGGTGCTGGCGTTGCATAGAGTAGATTTTCTGGCTTCAAGTCACGATGCACAATCCCATTTGCATGCAAGTACTAGAAAAAAAGAAAGTCAGAACATTTTAGATGTTATGGTCAAGCGTGAGTTAACATCTTCCTAACAATCTATAGCAGCAGAATAATAATCTGCTATGATGTGACACACATTCACTCCACTAATTTTCATCAGCTTTTTTTTCTGCAAAACTGCTCAACACAGGATCTTTGGATGCATACTGTAATCTGAATAGGAAAATTACAATTTGGGAAGACAAAGATAACATCACATTCATTCAAGAAGAAAAACATCTCAGAAAGTAGTATTGGCTTGTTAAATACAGTGCTAGCTTCTAGGAAGTAATCTAATAGCTGTTGAGATATCAAAGTCTGGCTCAGAGGAAGGTAGTTTCTGCACATTATAAAATTCTCAGAGATAAGAAAATGGTCATACAACTATTAAACTACTAAATAGACACCTTTGAGTAGTAAGATGTACTAAGTGTCCTGGGCCAACCATAAAATCCTTGAGGTCCCTGGAGCAGAATTCTCAAGGGTTTTAAAACCACCCAATTGCAGAGTCTCAAAAATCCGGCTGTCTTGCTGAAGCACATGCAGTATTTGTGAATTCATAAAACCATCTACCCTTGTCCTATTGGAACAGCCCCTACTCAAAAGTCTGTCCCCATCTTTCTTAGAAACTTTCTTAAGTCCTGAAAGACCAGAATAAGGTTTCTTCTCTTCTCCAGGCTGAACAACCCTAGCTCTCTCAGCCTGTCCTCACAGCAGAGGTGCTCCATTCCTCTGATCATCCTCATGGCCCTCCTCAGGATCCACTCAAACAATTCCATGTCTTTTTTGTGCTGAGGGCTCCAGAACATGCAATATACTGATAGACAAAAAAGGAGAAACTAATGAAACAAATTCTGTATTTCTTGTTGATAAAATATTCAGCAGAAACCTCTTAAGTCTTGGAAGATAGATGCTTAAGGGCAGAATCACATTATCTTATTTGCAAATCTCCTGGTCTACATTTTAGTAGCATTTCTGTCAGCTGTGCTTTCACTATTAAAAAAACCACTGTGCACTGTTATCCAGCAAATGACAAATGGCTGTAGAAAGCACAGCTACAGTGTGCACCTGAGGTAGCATCTGAGAAGAATTCTTGACTGTGTATCTCATTGGAAGTTTAGTTGTATACGTTGCCAGTGATTAAGTAACATTAATTAAGAATTCACTGCTCTTTCCTTCGGAGTTGTTTTAGTGACACCGAGTGCTTTTTAAGTGTGTGCTTCTTACAGTGCAATAAATGCTTTGTTGACTTTCTCTAAAATCCTAAAGTTGCAGTATTTGTCATGACGTGGCTTGTGGAGATCAGCCAAAGACTCTCATCTACTTTACTTCACAGTGAAATCTAAGTGCTTGTGCCAGCTGGGTTTTCTACAATGCGAAATCTAATCAGTTACCCAAGGCAGAAGATGGCAACAATACATGGAAACTGATGGATTGTACGCTGCTACATCATTTAATGCCGTCACATATGCCTGGCTGCACACAATCACGTCCACCCTGGATAAAAATTTGTCTTTATCTTCCAGTGAAGACATAACTGTAGCTCCCACAGCATAGCATTGGTGAGTTTGACATGCGGAGGTAATAGCAGCACACAGGGAGCGCATCAAAGGCAGTAAGTTGGAGTGGACAGAAGGAGATGTCTGAGCCGATCTGTGTTCATGTCCTGCAAATCAGTTTAGCTGACTCTGTAGCAGTGAGAAGGATCAGACATTTCACCATTTTTCAGTGGAAAGCAGACACTTCCGATTCATTCTTACGGAAAATATTTGACCACACTTGTGAAGCGAAACGTTCCAGCCAAGTCTGCAGTCTCTTAGCAGGTCCTTTTAAACACATGCCCATTATCTTAAAAACATTTTATGGTGTCAGGCTGAAAACATCGAAATATTCTTCTCTTCCCAGAATCACATTTTTGTGGGAGGGAGATTTGGCAAAAACCTGGGAAGAAGCTGTTCAACTTTTTCTGCCTTTTAAGTCATAAAGCGAGAGTGGCTCATAGGGTTCCTTCTCAGACATAGCAATAATCAATAATCATAATCATCATCAATCAATCAATCAATAATCATAATCAATGACATCTATTAACCATGCTTGTGCCTCAAGACTGGCTGCATTTTTAACGGATTTGTATTGAACTTACAGTGTGAACTCCTTTTTTGTTATGAACTCACAAGACCCCACATAGGAAAATTTCCTTCCTCTACCCAGCCCACCACTTGCAGAAACTCACAGGATGGGGGACCCAACATACGTGCTTTGCCTCAATAACCTGTCTTTCATAGACTGCCACTGCAATAGTCTGAGCTCTCTCTCATGTCCCCTCCTCACAACACCCGCAGCTACTAGCACTGTCTACACCACACCTCCCCTATCTCTCCAGCATCTCCTAGCCCACCCATGGTACCTGCTCTGACCTCTCCCTGCAGTTTACATAGATCCTGTCATGGTTGCTACAACCCCTAATCTCAGTACCTGCTGCTCTGTCCTCTCTCTCCCACTGTTTTTCTTGCTGGACTTCATATTTGGGCATGAGATGATGCCTGTGGTGCTTGGACCAGCCATGCATGCACTTGAGGTCGCCTCGAGCTACCAAGTCATGGGTTTAACAGATCTACTGGTGGCATCTTCATAGAATCTTGTATCTTTGAGACCTAGCCACCTATTAAATTTTGTTTAGGTTGGTCAATAGGGTCTTTTTGTGAAGTAACAGACAAAAGGGCAAAATGGAAAAAAAAACCTCTGTGTTTTCTGGAAATCCCATTCTTCAACCACACTGAAGTACCAGCTAGCCTTGTGGATGTCCAGTCCTCTGAGAGGAGAGAATGCTGTAAAAGGTACCAGCCTCCAAACATGTTACTGAACAGGTTACCTCCTGTCCTCCAGTATCAGCCACCTGTCATTCACTGAGCATGTTTCCTGCTCCACAGCCCTCTATGAAGGGGATCTTCCAAGACTGTCCATTTTCAACATTGGGCCCTTACTTGGTAAACACTCTGGGACCTGTTTGCAAATTTTCACCAGTCCCCATGTGGCACAATTGCTCCTGGTACTGATGACTACTTGGTAATTATATTGTCTTGTATAGATATGAAGAGTACCCTGAGTCAAACTACCTTGATTTAGAAATGGATTTAGTTAAATTAGCATAATCCACTTTGTATAGCACTTATTCCAATTTATATAAGCTCTATTTTGACTAATCTTCACTTTATTTCTCACATATTGATTTTAGTAAGTGTCATGTTCCTTTGCAGGCAGTGCCTCTGCAGCATAAGTTCAAAGACTCTCCAAGTCTGGAATACAGCTTTGGGTATTGCATACTCCCATTGTAAAACAGATACCCTGTGCTCTACTATTTATATGCTATGTCTCTTAATGACTAAATTATGTGAGTAAACGAGAAGATCATGGCCCAGGTAATAAGCCAGAGCAAGCATACTGGCTCACTTTATGATCAAGACATTGCTGAATTACGTCACTTTCCCCACCTATAAGATACGGATGAGACTTGAAAAACATTTGAATTCTATGGATGGATTTTAGATGCACAGTGCTATACCACAGTTTAACATAGCACGCACAAAAAATGTGATCATGACATAGAGTCATAGAATCATATGGGGTTGGAAGGGACCTCTGGAGATCATCTAGTCCAACCCCCGCACTGGAGCAGGTCTACCTAGACCATGTTGCACAGGAACTTGTCCAGGCGGGTTTTGAATGTCTCCGGAGAAGGAGATTCCACCTAAAATGTCCTGTTTCCACTTTCTCCTGATTTTCAGTAGACAAAATGCCAACCACTAAAAGAAAATAAAGGTATGGCAGTTCTCTGATTGTAGCTTTGCTTATTTGTGTTGGTGAAATAAGATGAATACAGAAAATTTACACATACATCAAAATTCTGTATTTCCATGGCAACATTACATGGATATATTTAGCTCTGGTTATGTCCTGTAACATCTATGTACTAATATGTAATATTTACTTGTAGAATAACAGCACTTCATCTAGCCTGATGAGATGTAGCTACAAGACAGGCCTCCACAGGATCTTGAAGCAAGGCCCATGGAAGAAGACCTAGAGGAAAGTCTTCTCCATGCATGGCAGTTTCATCTGAGCAGCTGGCCAATGGCACAGGGAAGAGAAATTATGCTTTCTCATGAATCTTCTCCTCTGGTTATTTTTTTTTGAACACCAGATCAAGGCAGGTGCTATAAACAGGGACAGAATTGATTTTAAGGAGCATAGAGCTATTCCATCTAGCAAAAGAGAATGAACAAGAAAAAAAGAAATGGAAACACTAGAGACACTGAGCAGTATGTATTAAATTAGGGAATTTAAATGCAAAGGAAATAAAGTAAGTAATAGTGCAAAAATATGCTTGTGCATCCTATGATCACGCCACTTTTTCAATTGCTGAGGCCAATGAGATGTATTTGGGCCAGGTGGGTGAGTCAGATGTGCTTCAGGCACAGTGGGGTACTGCATTGTTAGTACAGAGCATCTCAAATAATCTGGAAGAAATGTATTCTAGCAAAATTGAGTATAATAGTCTTATTACTCTTCGGTAAGTGTTGAGGACAGACTCAGCATGACACTGAGGTGAGAATAATATACAGGCCCTTTTCTGAAAGACTTACTAGTTAACATAAAGGCAGCCTTCAACTTGGCCTTTATTCCCATGGTACACAACCACAACTCAAGACTGAACAATTGCTGTGACTCTAACTGTGACTGCAGCAGCATGGTTTCTTTTTTTTCTTTTTTTTTTTTTAATTTTAACCTTCTTTCTAATTGTTGTATAAGAGTTCCCTTTGCTCTTTGTTTTATCCTTTAATAATTCAGGCTCCTATCTAACTTGAAAGATGACAAAAGGAAAAATGAAGATTGCCTAAAACTCTGGCCTTTTTTCTTAATTTTATTTATGGTACCTACTACATGGAACTGTAGAAAAGTAGGGCTGAAATGAACCTGAATCATCTACT